ATAGCATAGTTTTGTCTATTCGGAACTTCAAATAAATGAAATCAAATCAAACAGACTCTTTTCTGCCTTCTTTGCTCAGTGTATTTTTGAGATTCATCCATATTGTGGGCATCAGTAGTTTGGTCCTTTTTATTGCTGAGCAATACTCTGTGGCATGAATGTGCCACAGTTTATCTGTTTACCTCTTGGTAGACGTTTGGCTGTTTTCAGTTTTGGACTATGATGAATAAAGCTTCAATGAACATTCAACTATAATTGTTTGTATGGACATGTTTTCATTTCTCTTGGGTAGATACGTAGGAGTGGAATTGCTAGGTCATATAGTAAATGTGTTTATGTTTCACATTATAAGAAACTGCCGGATTGTTTTTGCTTTATGCTCCCATCAGCAATGCATGAGAATTCCATCTCTTCCACATCCTTGGCAAAACTTTTTTTATTTTAACCTTTCTGTGAACATGTAGCCATTGTGTTTTAACCTACAGAATTGAGAAGTGTCTCCTACTGCTTGCAGTTATAGGACTTTATTGTCTGTTTATTACAGGCTGCCTCTGGGGGACTTTAATTACTTTCCTGCGTGTCACAGGGGGTCAAAATAATATTCTGCTTACCACATAGAATGGCTCCTTGCTGTGGCACGTATAGTGATTGGCTGTGTCATACTTCCATCCATACCTAGTTTCATTATATACAGGTTCCTTCATAAACAGTATACAAATCCTGACTATTTAGAACTTTTTTTTCCCTGCTTTTTTGGGAGTGTTTATATTAGCTTTGCAGTTTCCTTAGCTGGCTAACTTTAGTTGAATAAAAGTCTTACTTAAAGCCACTGCCGTTAGCTAGCTAAAGGCCTCTCCAGTGGGGTCAAATTTTGGTCTTATGTAAAAAATGAGGGGCATTTTCTTAAAATTATCAAGTGTATCTTTACAGTGCTGAAGACACAAAGTAATTGGGTATCATCTAGATGTGTAAGGAAACTAAATTTTGGTCTTAGTTGTGGATGGTTGGATTTTTTGGTTGCCTTCTTTTTTCCCTCAACATTTAATTTATTTTTTAAATTAATTAATTTTATTTATTTATTTTTGGCTGCGTTGGGTCTTCCTTGCTGCGTGCGTGCTTTCTGTAGGTGTGGCGAGCGCGGGCTACTCTTCGTTGCGGTGCGTGCACTTCTCATTGCGTTGGCTTTTCTTGTTGCGGAGTATGGACTCTAGGCACGCGGGCTTCCGTAGTTGTGGCTCGCGGGCTCTGGAGTGCAGGCTCAGTAGTTGTGGCGCATGGGCTTCGTTGCTCCAGGGCATGTGAGAACTTCCCGGACCAGGGCTTGAACCCTTGTCCCCTGCGTTGGCAGGCGGATTCTTAACCACTGCGCCACCAGGGAAACCCTCTCCACATTTTATTTTGAAAAATTTCAAACATACAGAAAAGTTGAAGGAATTGCATGAGAATACCCGTTTACCACCTAGATTCTATAATTAACATTTTACTGTATTTGTTTAATCACATATCTGTTGAAAATTTTTGATGGTGTGTTTAAGCCTTTCTTTGTAGAAAAAGCATTGATGGGTAGAACTTACTGGGCAGTAGTTACTTTTGTGTGGTATAGGACTTAGTGGTTCTCTGATGCGGTAGTTCTCTTTTGAAGTTGACTATCTTGTGTTTCCTATTATCATTGGTTGAGAGCTCAGTCATTTATTTTCAAATGAATTCCATCCAGATTATGTTACAAAGACAAAAGAAAAGCAAGGGAAATTGGTCGTAGAAAGGGTTTGTTTGTATCATCAGGAGGCCAAAATACTGCCAACCTGCTTGCCCAGCTGATAGAAATGCTGTCACATGAATAACTACCTTTTATTGAGTGATTACTGTATTCTAGAGCTTTATCTCATTTGGGGTCTTACAACAACTCTGTTATATTATTAGCCCCATTTTATGAGTTAAGAAATTGAGGCTTAATGAGATTGAATCATTTGCCAAATGTCTCATCTCTTAAATGGCACAACTGGTATTCAGACGGAAGTCTCTCTGACTCCAAAACCCATGCTTTGAACCAGAAGTCTTTAGTGCTGAAAGTTCCCTTTCTGCAGAATTTATAGTTTACATTCATTTTTGTCTTCAGAATCGGCCAAATTGGGCCACACCTAATATGAGTCTGGTATAGTAGCATTCTTGTGGAAAAGGGGATATCATATAAACATTTTTATGACTATGAAGGGCTCTTAATTCTTGAGGAGGGAGGGCCCTTTTTGAAATCAGGCATCCTGGGGTTTTTACTGACCTATTTCATTCTCTGAAGAATTAAGGAATTTCCAGCTTGTATTAAATTGTGGAATGTATAGAATTCTTTCTATAGTTGAACCAGATAAGTATTAGCAAGTGTGTTTAGAATATGACACTGGTAGTTCTTTCCTGTTTTTTTGTTTTTGTTGTTGTTTTGGGTTTTTTTAAGAGGGTTCTTGGGATGATAGCCAATTTGAAGCTTGGTCTTACTATTAAAGAAATGAAACCTAAGCAAGCTTCCTTGCTCCCTGCCTGCTTTTGGAGTAAGCCTCACTTAAGTTTGCCAATTTTCAGGGCTTATTTCTGTGAGTGACCCAAGGAACAGTGTATTCTAACTTGAAAACTGAATGGGTGGAGGTATGCATTGAAAACAATAGTTTTTAACCTTTCTGGAGATTACATACTCCTTTTTTGAAGCTGATGAAAGCTGTGGGCCCTCTTCCCAGAAAACAATGCATATATGTAGACAAATATAATTTTACATACAAATTCTGTAGGGGTTCACTGACCGCCGCCCGCCCCCAAGCCTATCGACAGAGTAGTCCAGATTAAAAATCCTTTAAAATTAGGAAAAATTAGGGAGCTGAAAAATAAGATTTGAGCATCAGTTCTTAAACTTTTTTCACAAATGCTTATCTCATAAAATTGATTATACTAACATAAAAATCATGTTTTAGTATCCAAGATATTTACTTCAGTCTCTACAGTATTAGTTTTCCTCACTTTGTTAAAAAAAAAAATTAACAAGGATATTCGTGAGTTAAGCTAAGATTCCTAGGGATAGATCAAATTCTCTCTGTTGATTTTTAACTTTTGCCTTTTCCATTTTATTTCTTCTACCATCAAAATATTTTCCCAGAACTAGTAATTAGGTCAAAGATTCAGATGAAATGCTTTACCAATCCCCAACTTTAGGTTTACATTTATTCTTTAACCAAAATCTCTTCATAACCCATAGGTACATAGTACTTCTTTCCTTAATATACTTTCTGATATGAGTGTTCAGGCATTGATCTTGGCAAGTTACATGTTTTATTACATTAATCTTCACAACGACTCTGTTAGGGACTTATTATTGTCTCTCTTTTATAGACGTGGAAAGCAATGCTGAGAAAGGTTAAATGACTTAAGACCAGCTCTGGCAGGGCCAGGATTTGAACCCATGTAGATCTAGCTCCAGAGCCCATTTTCTTCTGTTTTACCATCCTGCTCTATGATCAAAGAACTGACCACTTTTTCTGGCCACTGGTCTGACCTGATCTGAATTTTAAAAGCTCAAATTTCCATCAGTGGAGGGAGCTCTTTATTTTCTTCTATAGCTAGCCAGTTGTAAAATTGCTGTAGTGTGTGTGTGTGTGTGTGTGTGTGTGTGTATTTAAGTTAGATTTTAGGTTGTGAAATGTCAAGAGCACTGAATTTACTGGCTAGATTGTTAAACCTAGAATAAGGAAGGAGGCTTAGCTGGATGATCTCCTGCCTGTTCTGTTTATATAAATGGATGTTTCAGATACCATACTCTGACAGACAATTCCAGTGATTGAAAAGTTTGTGGAAGGCTTGTTACTAAACCTAGCATCATTTGCAGGAAGGAAAAACCCTAATGGTTTGGAACAAGAGTGAAAAAGAGTTTAAAGGGTAGATAAGCTTTTATGAAATTGACTAAAGGCCAGGTGTGTATTTCCTAACCCTCTTGGGATAGCCATGGGGGGAACCTCCAGGTCAGCTAGCTGCCTAGTAGTTTTTGCTGAGATAACGGGTGGGGGTCAGCATTCTGGGAAGGTAGTTCAGTTTGCTGAGTGAGTTTTGTGAGACTCAGCATCTTTCTTGACAAAATTATTGTTCTTCCAAACCTTGTACTTTTCCTAGTTTCAGCCTTTTTATACACAGTGGAACAGGAAGGAGAATGCGTAGGTTGATTTACTGTATAAACTTACCGGTACATTTTTTAGTTTGAACTGATTACACAGGGCTTTAAGTGAGATAGCACAGAACAGAAAAAAAAGTAGATACTAATTGAAGTGATTGGGAGAACAAAGGAAGTTGGGTCAGATAATAAAATTTTAGAGAGTTTATCTCCTTGCCTTTTTAAAAACTGAGTGATAGAGGAAACTAGTGTGTATGAAGATATATATCATTTAATTCCCAAGGTGATGAAACTTGGTATAAAGGAAAATTAAGTTGACCGATTTTAAGATATGGGGAGAAATCAGATACAAATGTAAAAGAACTATCTTAAGTCATACTTTTTGGGTCTTTACAAATTAAGGGAGCATATTTTGTGAAAAATTTCTTTTGACAGAATTCCGAATTCTAAGAAATTTAAAAAGGACAAAGAACAGTTCAAATGGCAGGATTGTTAAAAGCCACTTTATTGTATTGTATACGTGCTTAGTTAGGATGAGGAAATTGGCTTTAAAAGCTTTGTTCCCTCATCAGCTTCACCCTCCTTCCCTTGTGTTTTCCTGAGGCTGTGTGCGAGGTTTTAGCATAGAGGAAGGGTAGGTCCTTTCACCTGTTGCCATTTTTTCCCCCTGCCATAAGTTCACACACACTTTTTCACATTATGATTTGTAAAAACATAAACAGCTTTTCTGGAACCAAACTGATCTTTTTATTTTGTGGTTCATACTTCATGACACTGGAGTGGGGGCAGGAGGGTGGAGCTATAAGGTGTTTGGACCCTTCTGGTTTATGGGATTGTCTTTTTCCCTTTTTCCCCTTAGGAACGGCGTGAATGTTGAGGGGGCGACACACAAGCAGGTGGTGGACCTGATCCGAGCAGGCGAGAAGGAATTGATCTTGACAGTGTTATCTGTACCTCCTCATGAGGCAGATAACCTAGATCCCAGTGACGACTCGTTGGGACAGTCATTTTATGATTACACAGAAAAGCAAGCAGTGCCCATATCGGTCCCCACATACAAACATGTGGAGCAGAATGGTGAGAAGTTTGTGGTGAGTGTCAGCCCAACTCCATCCTCAAACACCCAGCTTTTGTTTCTCCCAATCTTATCATTTATGATATATATTAGAGCACTAGGATAAATGACTGCCACCTAGGTCAGTTTGCCTACCAGGAATATGGGTTTACACATAAATAAAAGACACTGGCCCTGATTTATTGCAGGGAGTGAACTACAGTAATGGAAGAAGAGGCATATTTCTGCTTAAGTATAACTCCATTTTATTCTAGACAGTTTTAAGTTTGGATTTGGGCCTTTTGCAATCATGTGTGAGTTTATTTTGTTTGTTCTTTTATTGGTTGTCATATCTCTTTGCTAATAGCAGTCTCTCACTGTTGACTCTGTAGAGTTATAGAGCAAGATTAATTTTAAAGTGTGGTGTGTCTTCCAAAACATTTGCGTAATACAGAGTTTGTCCATGTCAGAACCTACAAGTGCCCTATACCCCACTTCACATCTTGTTCTTTTTCATTTTCTTTGGAGATATCTGTGTGAATGATTAATTCTGGTTTTCTCCAAGGTCCTCATTATATTCTGCATGCAATTCACATGGGCTATTTTATACATTTCCAGTTTCTTGCTGTTGTAGATATGCAGGAAAGCCCATCTTGAATTCTGGATGATGTGTGCCAGCCCCTTTCCCAAATGCCTTTGTTTGTTCTTTAAAACCTAATTACAACTGATAGCCCAATCTGCTTAATTTTTCCCTTGGTTGCAATATTCTTTATTTGCCTTTGATTATTTTGGGAGTGATGGTATAATGAGAAATTCATTAAGCTTTGTGGAAAATGCAGTGCATTCTGTAGGTATTGGCAAACAGACTACATGTGTTTAAAGCTGATCTGCTGTTTAATGTTACAGTCTCTGAAACTGAGATTTGTCCCCTGTATAGGAATGAGCTACTAGATATTTATGGTAAATTCTTTTTAATGGGGAGATGAGAAAAGCAAGCAAGGAAGCCTGAAAAGTTCCAGAAGGATCAAATAATGTTTGACTGCATCTGTAATTTAGCTGGAGATGATAGCATGTAGGTTTTATGTCAGTCTGGTCTATGTATTCTCCGAACCATACACACAAAATTTAGAGTTTTGTGTTTCAGAGGTGCTATACTTTTTTTTAACCATTTTTAAAATTGAAGTATAGTTAATTTACAATGTTGTGTTAGTTTCAGGTGTACAGCAAAGTGATTCAGTTATACATACACATATATATCTATTCTTTTTCAGATTCTTTTCCATTATAGGTTATTACAGGATAGTTCCCTGTGTTTCCCAAGTAGGTCCTTGTTATTTATCTGTTTTATATATAGTAGTGTATATATGTTAATCCCAAACTCCTGATTTATCTCCCCCACCCCAACCTCGTGCCCCACTATCCCCTTTGTTAACCATAAGTTTGTTTTCTGTGTCTGTGAGTCTGTTTCTGTTTTGTAGATAAATTCATTTGTATCATTTTTTTTAGATTCTGCATATAAGTGGTATCATATAATATTTGTCTTTTTCTGTCTGACTTACTTCACTTAGTATGATAATCTATAGGTCCATCCATGTTGCTGCAAATGGCATTATTTCATTCTTTTTTATGGCTGAGTAATATTCCATTCTGTATATGTAGCACGTCTTCTTTATCCATTCATCTGTCATTGGACACTTAGGTTGCTTCCATGTCTTGGCTGTTGTACATAGTGCTTCTATGAACATTGGTGTGCACGTATCCTTTCAAATTAGAGTTTTTCTCCCGATATATGCCCACGAGTGGATTGCTGTGTCATATGATAACTCTATTTTTAATTTTTTAAGGAACCTCCATACTGTTTTTCATAGCGGTGGCACCAGTTTACATTCCCACCAACAGTGTAGGAAGGTTCCTTTTTCTCCACACCCTCTCCAGCGTTTATTATTTGTAGATTTTTTTTAATGGTGGCCATTTTGACTGGTGTGAGGTCATACCTCATTATAGTTTTGATTTGCATTTCTCTCATAATTAGCAATGTTGAGCATCTTTTCATGTGCCTCTATGTCTTCTTTGGAGAAATGTCTATTTAAGTCTTCTGCCCATTTTTTGATAGGGTTGTTTGGGGTTTTTTTGATATTAAGCTGTATGAACTGTTTGTATATTTTGGAAGTTAATCCCTCATCGGTAGCATCATTTGCAAATATTTTCTCCCAGTTCGTAGGTTGTCTTTTCATTTTGTTTATGATTTCCTTTGCTGTGCAAAAGCTTTTAAGTTTAGTTAGGTCCCATTTGTTTATTTTTGTTTTTACTTCCATTACTCTAGAAGATGCATCCAAAAAAATATTGCTATGATTTTGTTTTGTCAAAGAGTGTTCTGCCTATGTTTTCCTCTAGGAGTTTTATAGTATCTGGTCTTACATTTAGGTCTTTAATCCATTTTGAGTTTATTTTTGTATCTGGTGTTAGAGAATGTTCTAATTCATTCTTTTACACGTAGCTGTCCAGTTTCCCCAGCACCACTTATTGAAGAGACTGCCTTTTCTCCATTGTATATTTTTGCCTCATTTGTCATAGATTAATTGATCATAAGTGTGTGGGTTTTTTCCTGAGCTTTCTATCCTGTTCCATTGATCTATATGTCTGTTTTTGTGCCAATACTACACTGTTTTGATTACTGTAGCTTTGTAGTACAGTCTGAAGCCAGGGAGCATGATTCCTCTAGCTCCATTCTTCTTTCTCAAGATTGTTTTGGCTATTTAAGGTGTTTTGTGTTTCCATACAAATAAAAAATTTTTTTGTTCTAGTTTTGTGAAAAATGCCACTGGTAATTTGATAGGGATTGTGTTGAATCTGTATATTGCCTTGGGTAGTCATGGTAATTTTAACAATATTGATTATTTCAATCCAAGAACATGGTATATTTTTCCATCTGTTTGTGTCATCTTCAGTTTCTGTTATCAGTGTCTTATAGTTTTTGTAATACAAATCTTTTGCCTCCTTAGCTAGGTTTATTCCTAAGTATTTTATTCTTTTTGATATGATGGTAAATGGGATTGTTTCCTTAATTTCTCTTTCTGATATTTCATTTTTAGTGTATAGAAATGCAACAGATTTCTGTATATTAATTTTGCATCCAGCAACTTTACTGAATTCATTGATGAGCTCTAGTAGTTTTCTGGTAGCATCTTTAGGATTTTCTATGTCTAGCATCATGTCATTTGCAAACAGTGACAGTTCTGTTTCTTCTTTTCCAATTTGGATTCCTTTTATTTCTTTTTGTCTCTGATTGCTGTGGCTAGGGCTTCCAAAACTGTGTTGAATAAAAGTGGTGAGAGTGGGCATCCTTGTCTTGTTCCTGATCTTAGAGGAAATGCTTTCAGCTTTTCATCATTGAGTATGGTGTTAGCTGTGGGTTTGTCATATATGACCTTTATTTTATTTTAAAATTTATTTATTTAATTTATTTATTTTGGGCTACATTGGGGCTTCGTTGCTGCGCGCAGGCTTTTCTCTAGTTGCGGTGAGTGGGGGCTACTGTTCATTGCGGTGTGTGCGCTTCTCATCATGGTGGCTTCTCTTCTTTCTTGTTGCCGAGCACGGGACCACGGGCTTCAGTAGTTGTGGCACGCGGGCTCAGTAGTCGTGGCTCGAGGGCTGTAGAGTGCAGGCTCAGTAGTTGTGGTGCATGGGCTTAGTTGCTCCACGGCATGTGGGATCTTCCTGGACCAGGGATAGAACCCGTGTCTTCTACATTGGCAGGCAGATTCTTAACCACTGCGCCACCAGGGAAGTCCCTATATGACCTTTATTATGTTGAAGTATGTTTCCTCTGTGTCCACTTTCTGAAGAGATTTTATCATAAATGGATGTTGAATTTTATCAAAATCTTTTTCTGCATCTATTGAGATGATCATATGGTTTTATTCTTCAGTTTGTTAGTGTGGTGTATCACGTTGATTTGTAGATGTTGAAGAATACTTGCATCCCTGGAATAAATCCCACTTGGTCATGGTGTATGACCCTTTTAACGTATTGTTGGAGTCGGTTTGCTAGTATTTCTTTTAAATTAATTTATTATTTATTTTTGGCTGCATTGGGTCTTCGTTGCTGCGCAAGGGCTTTTCTCTAGTTGTGGCGAGCGGGGGCTACTCTTCATTGCGGTGTGCGGGCTTCTCATTGCAGTGGCTTCTCTTGTTGCGGAGCATGGGCTGTAGGCCTGTGGGCTTCAGTAGTTGTGGCATGCAGGCTCAGTAGTTGTGGCTCGCAGGCTCTAGAGCACAGGCTCAGTAGGTGTGGTGCACAGGCTTAGTTGCTTTGAGGCATGTGGATCTTCCCGCACCAGGGCTCGAACCCGTGTCCTCTGCGTTGGCAGGCAGTTCCTTAACCACTTTGCCACCAGGAAAGTCCCAGTTTGCTAGTATTTTGTTGAGGATTTTTGTATCTATGTTCATCAGTGATACTGGCCTGTAATTTTCCTTTTTTGTGATATCTTTGTTTGGTTTTGGTATCAGGGTGATGGTGGCCTCATAGAATGAGTTAGTAAGTGTTCGTTCCTCTGCAATTTTTTAGAATAGTTTCAGAAGGATAGGTGTTAACTCTTCTTTAGATGTTAGTAGAATTCACCTGTGAAGCCATCTGGTCTTGGACTTTTGTTTGTTGGGAGTTTTTAAATTACTGATTCAATTTCAGTACTGGTAATTGGTCTCTTTATATTTTCTATTTCTTCCTGCTTCAGTCTTGGGAGATTGTACCATTCTAAGAATATGTCCATTTCTTCTAGGTTGTCCATTTTATGGATGTATAGTTTCTCGTAGTAGTCTCTTATGATCCTTTGTAGAGGTGCTATACTTTTAATCATAAGACAAGTAAGAAGTAGAAATCAAGATTGGGCCCTAAAAATGGAGCAGCTTGGATATTGAGACCTTTGGGGAATTACCTAAGACCTCGAGAGGCTCTGTAGACTTAGAAAAGGAATGAAACTACGAATTGTCCTTTTTTTAAAAATCAACTTTATTGAGCATAATTTACTAACATTAA